AGCCGGCGGCGGCGGGGTTTCCGGGGGCGTCGGGAACTCGAACGAGTCGTCGCCGGCGAGGGGCGACGGGGGAGGGGACGCGGCGGGGAGGAGGCTGGACGCGAGAGCTTCGAGGAGTAGCGCGTGTCCGTCCTCTGCGGCGTTGTCGTCGTCGTCGTCGCGCGCAGGTGGCGCGGCGTCGGGGGGCGGCGTCTCCACGGCGACCGTGTCGTCGTCGTCAAGGAAACCGGCAGCCGAGTAGCAGGGCATCAGGTCCGCTTCGAACAGGTCCGTCAAGAAGCCATCGTCGGCTGGAGAGAGACGCAAGGAGAACGACGCGGGGTTAGACGACGGGATCCTAACGCTAACATCAATCCTTCCCTCCACCCACCAAAAGCTGCTGATTACGTCACGAATTTCTAGTACTATCAAGTAGTATATTTGTGTGTTATTTGTACAAAATAAAATGTATGAAAATACCATAAGTATTTCTGTTTGCTTTTCATGCTTATATACCGTCTTTATATGCCCTAATTTGCCGGTGAAAAATAGAGAGACGCCAGTATGTGAACAGTACTGGGGGAATAGTGTTAGACAACAGAAATTACCAAATCGTCTAGATTTTTGCAAATTTAACCAACGTAAAAACATTTTTATCAGGTGAGAGTTTGAGGATATATTTAGTAACGTTAGTTCTTACTTTTCATGTAAAAAAATTGCAATTTTTTTTTTACAAATTTTACCATGGAAAATTCGTGACATAGTCAATTTAACACGGCATGTTTTCGCAGCAAAATGCATAGATACACCTACTGTGAGTTCGTCCATGTTGTAAAAATTCACTACAACTTATTTGTATGGCTACTTTCACAACATTTCTTCATAAAATCTAAACGAAAGTACACCTGTTACGGAAGTAGCACCACAGGATGTTTACACATCCGGTACACAGCTGAGCAAACGTTGTGCTGCACTCACAGTTCTTTTCTATGACAACGCATGTTATACTTTATTGTTCGATGTTTACTCAGTACGATATTCTGACATTTGTTTAAATCATATCTTATCTACATTACTTATGCAATCAGGAAACAAATAGTGTTTTCAATCATTCCAGGAACTATTTGCGCCTCTTCACTCCAAAACAACTTATGTGTATCTAATACGCCGAAACCGCGTCGGATGAAGTTGTCAAAATCTCAACTTCGGAGCACATTTCTGGCTCAATAAGAACATTTCGTTATGTTTTCCTGCTGCAAGTATGCTCACAGTAGACCTATGTACATAGGATTTTTGTTGCGAGGTCTAAATCCATTTAAACGCGATCTCACTGAATCCAAATTCTTCCTCGGTACCAGGCATGCACATTTCCCCCTGCTAGGGTGCAATCACGTACTACTTTATCTCTACCAAAACAAGAGACCGCTTACAGTGAAAAGTGGATGCGGGTCGAAAAAAAAAAAAAATCCCACCCCCCTCGCTGGCTACCACAAACTTCTGAGCTGTAAACTGGATTATGACTATAACGCAACACGAACACGCAGCGCACATCTACATAGAACGAGGTCAATGACCCAGATGTGCAGCTACGAACAGCACCCGGAGCGATATACAGCTCTGCCAGCAGCAGCCAGGCCCCGGTGCAGTCGCACTCGCAGCAGTATCAGGCTTGCACTCCCCCGCCCACCGCCCCGCACACTAACCCGCCAGGCCCCCAGGGCAGTCACCGCAATATCGAAGACTAATTGTCCAACCCATCCCCGCCTGCCCAACACCCCCTCCCCCGCACACTCACCCGCCAGGTTTCCTAGGTCCTGGAACAGCTCCATGCTGTACGACAGGTCAGTGGCATAGTTTTCCTCCACCTCCCCCCGCAACCGCGTCTCGTCTCCTCCCACCACCTGTAACGAGAGAGAAAATTAGACAAAGGAGGTAATGGCCAGTTTGAGAAAAAATGCGCAAGATGGATTCAGAGGCGTGCCGAAAGGAAGTAAAAAAAAAGGCCGTAGGAAGTGTAGACCCCGCGTCACATCACTCAATAAACGCATATGGCAATCGAAATATGCCACAAGCACGTGGTAGTATATTTATTTTTGGGTAGAGACTATTTTGACAACGGCAGGTAAATACAGGAACATTTACACAACGGCGATGTTAAATTTGACAACGCCACAGTGCCTCTTATGCATAAGAAACAAACCCTCGTACCCTACGTACCTCAATACCAATCTTCTCATCATTGCTGCTTGGAGCGGGCAGGCCGAAGCCCCACTCCTCCAAACTTGCGTACATGCTCACTGGGGAACTCATCCTCTCTACTCAAATTATCGGGTTCAATTTGGAAATTGATGATCGTCTGTTGTATGCCAGGGCCTTGGTGGCTCGTTGGTAGAGCGAAAGGGGGGACATTTCTGGTACTGAAAAGAAAAGAAAACTTTTATGTAACACATGTTATTGGCATTGCGAGTGGCACTTGAATCAGTGGACAGCAGGATTGACACTGGCTTGGGTAATAAACAGCTTACTGCTATTGTGTTATAATTTCTTTATTGTACTTCAAGCATTAAACATGTTATCTGTAGTAGGACAGCAGACTGGCGTTACTGGTTTCAGCAAACACGCAAACACAGGGAAATCAATGCCTCCAGTCCATGTACTGACGTAGCATACTTCGGGGAGTTCAGTCCACTAGTAAAAGTAAAAGCTGTCACAATGATGTCACAAGCTCTCACTAAAACTAAAAGCTGTCACAAGGTAGTTTAACATTTTTACCTGTGTTACTCATTTTGTAGTAAGACCGAGTGGTTGCTAGCATTAACTTTTAAATGTATTTAAATGTAATTGCTAGCATTAACACTGCACTTTTAAATGTAAAACATGCATGATCGAACTCAAAAGCTATTTTAGAAATAACTTCGGTGATGACCGGTGCAATTTATGAAACTGAAAGAGAACTTGGAACATTTATATAAATGTGTTTTATAACAGATATAAGGACAGCGAACAAAGTGAAGACTGGTGAGGGGACTACACTGGGTTACTCAAACCAGCAGTAGAATATGTACGAAAGATACTGTCAATTCCAAGTATCAATATCTAAAGTAAAGAACTGGAGGTAGACATAATTTCCTGTTTCTTTAGATAATCCCCGCACCTGCATCAGAGTCCCTTGTGAAAAACAAGAGAGGGACCTAAGATACAAGATAGCATAGCCATAGCCATCATAGGCATCACAAGGACACTAACAGAAACTGTCGATACTAGATACCGATAGGCAGAGTAAAGACGGACTGTGAGTGTGGACCCAAGGATAGAGAACATGGGTCCCAATAAAACCAATGTGCCTACCATTAATTTTAACCCTAACCATATCCTAACCTATTATATTGATATAATATTATATTTATATTGATGTAAATGACATTGGTTTTATTGGGACTCATGTTCTCTATCCTTGAACCCGAGTGGCCCCCTGTGACCGCAAACACGAAAACGCTGTGTCAATGCACGTAGTTCTTACTTCGTCTTATTTGCGGTTATAACGCGATATTCAAGTAATTTAAATTATACATACGCCATGGTTGTAGAAGTGCAAAGTAGTTTGCACGGGTGTACTGTGTACGCTTTCTGTTATAGCTCCATCTTGGCTCGTTTTCGTCTAGAATTTTGTATCAACCTTGTTTTCATTTGTGATGGCGGAACTGGAGTAAACTATTTGCACGCGCGTCCAGCGCTAAAATATTTCAGTCGCATATCAGTCCGCTGAAGAACATATTATAATGAAATAGGAGTCTACACCATTATGTGTCGACTAAATAAGTGTAAGACATGCATATAAATAAAATTGAATTGCTCATAAGTTACTTTCAAATGTATGGAAAATATTTTCAACCTTTTATTTTGTAGAATATAGTTCCTGCGTAGTCAAACGGTTTCAAAGTAGTACTTTGGCAGGTTGCATTAGACTGGTACTAGCTCCCACCTTTCGGCTTAGTTACTCGATGGATACCATCGAGTAAATCGAAGTGGGAGCGAGTACCAGTCTACAGGTTGCATCAGACTTGTAAAAGGCCCCTACACGTGATCACGTCGTAACAGGTCAAGTTAGGTCAGAGGTGAAGGGTCATCAACATGGCGGCAATATCATCTGCAAACCGTCTTATTCAAGCATTTCGTAGCTTCGTACCCAATAGTGGAAGGTTGCTGTCTACGTCGTCATGTTTGAACAAGGGCCCGTCAGGGGCTGAGCCAATGGACATACAAACAGTCATGAATAAGAAGAAGGAATCCGCCTATATTACACAGGTTTGTGTGACGCTCACTCGCTCAGCCTCACGCACACACAGGCTCACATCAATAACAACAAGTTATGCTGCATGCTGGTAATACTGATAGTGTAAAGCCCATTCTTTGCTGCATACAGCTATAAACCTACTACTGGTGTTTCCACTCACACAGAAACCATGAAAAATTTGGGACTTCTAATTCTGCTCTAGCAAAATGGCTATATTTAACTCTAGAACTCTACGGTGCAAATCCACTTTAGGCACCTTAGGTATCACGAAGTGATGCACAGATTTCTGTGTATCATCAACTG